TCTTTCCCTGAATACCTTCTCCACTTATCTGCCCATTTAAATCCTGGGCTACACTATGAAGAACATTATATAAGCTCTCAGCAGAATAAATACAGCTTTTAGGAATAAAGGACAAATTACTTCAGAGCTGAAATAATGTTGTTTGTTTGCTAACTGGAGTTGCATACATTCACAGAGCCAGGTTCTGTTTAAATGGCAAAACAGTTTAGGTGTCTGCTCACAGTCCCCTTCTTCCCACCCTTTTGCATCCACCATTCTTTTCTTACACATTAAATCCCCATGGATAATGGGGTAACAACCACCATTAACATGCCCCTGCTGTGGCATTTCTGCCGAAAGGCTTTTGTGGAAGTGCTGGCAGACCATCTATTATTTGCTTTTGCAGCAATATACCATGGTACTTACTTAAAGAAAGCAATAAGCAAGTTGACCATGATGATGTACTGCACAAAGAGGTAGACGGCTTGGAGGAATGGTGTGAGGAAGGAGCCAGGAGGACAGTCTTCATTGGTTTCACAGACTGAAAATGAAGGACATACAGGGCACGGTTAGCATGGAAATCAGAGCAGAGGACAGCAATGACATGTGGTCCTCATTTGCCCCAGCAAGGAACAGAATAGACCTCACTACTTTCAAGGAGATACATTACTAAATTTCCAACTAAAAAGTCTAGATCCATGTAAAGAAAAACTGAGATGTCTTCATGATACTCCTGTCCCATAGTTTCCATTGTAATTCAAAAGCTGTAGACATAATTTCATACGTATCAGTTCTTACACCAGCCACCCCAACTTTTTGTTAAGGGGAAAATTGATGCACCTGAAAGGTTTTTGGAAGATGGAACATATTCAATTCAACTGAAATTCAAGTCTCTGATCCTTAAAGCAGGTGGCAAAGCTTTCACTGATTCCACTGTGGAAAGGACACAGCACAAAGGCTGTTTTATCACTACTGGAGTGTTACTTCTTTAGAGCTTCAGTAAGATCACATAAGCTCACATGCAAAAGGACATATGGCTACAAATATTAGTGAGATGAAGAAACAAATCATAAACATTTAGAAATGCCTCTTAAAGTTTTTAAGTTGTCAAATGAAATACTTTTCAATCTTTATAGTCTTTAATCAAATTTTACACCTTTAAGGAAATTTTAAAACACGTTTGTAAGGCAGCTGCCCTAAATTCAGGACATATTCCACAGCACAGAGTCATTAAAGAAATCATAACTTTATTTGGGAAGTGTCAGATTTCTAAAGGTTTAGCATTAGTAAGTGATTAAATGGACTAACTGTGAAACTTAACAGTGTGCTTTCATTAAAAGAATTTGACTTAACCAAAATACATAAACATGTGACTGTTTCAGCAATAATAATGGATGCAATATCTTAAGTTATCTTAATGAATCAGGTCTATGCTGAACTATGTATCCTAAATATCTGTACCTACTTGCATAGCTACTTTTCTATTTTAGGGACTGTTTTACTTGTACCCATCACTTAGCAGCATGAGAGTGCTCTCCATCTCTAATGTTGAAATACCTCCTGGAGTTCCTGATTCTTCTCTCTTACCGAGACAAAATCAAAGTCATAATCAAGATACAACATTTTTCCTACTTACATTGATTGGTTCTATTTTTCCTATATTCAACTGGTTCATCTGTTTAAGAATAATGCCAGGTAACTTCTACTATGGTGAAAAATAAATTTTCTTTCTCATTTTTCTGTTTTTGTTTTCCCTTTAATCTTTCTTCCTTTAAGACAACTTTGTAGTCTTTTCTCCAAGAGATCAGCAGCTTTGGATTTGCCTGATTGGAAATTCATTTCACTGTCAGATACCCTGACCATGAACTAGCTTAGAATTAGTTCCTGTATACTTTGCTCTGAGATTTGCAATATACTTAATTTGAAAAGCTAAATTCCATTTCAAACTTAATCTTTATTTTTAACAAAGAAACTAATATTCTCACCTTTATTCATGCAGTATTACTTATTAAGGACACATATATACTAGAATCAAAATTATTTGAGAAAGTACAGACTCAATATGTAGTCAAAACTCTAGTAGCTAAAAGTGGACATGTTTCTGCACATAGCAAGTTTAAGCTGTTGAAAACTACCCACCATCTATTTCTCCAGCATAGACCTCACCAAACATCATCCAGTAGGGCTGAAATACAATATCTCGTGCGAGAGTCCAAGAAGGAGGCTCCTCTGGTGAAAGGATTGCCTTTCGTGACACCCCAAAACTCAACAGGACTATGGCCATCATGACCACAATATAGAACATGTTTGCTGTCTGGAAGATATGTTTGCATGAGAAAGTTAGCTATGTTAATTATCTGTGAAGCAGACATACATTTTAGGGAATAGTATCACTGACTGCTTTTACAAATCAGAATATAATAACAGGGTTAATAATCTATTATGCTGGAGGAAATAAAAGTATTTTATTTCTATGACCTGGACTATCCAGGTATTTTATAGAGGTTAAAGTCATCCTGGACCAAAGAGGTCACAAGTTCTACTTGCCTTTCAAATCCCTCTTAAGATCTTAAGCAAGATTTGAAAAATGTAGAAAGCTTATGTTGGTGCTTTTCCTCAGTGGTACTTCTTCCAAACTGAGAGCAAGAAATAGCAGTGAAAATGATTTTGCCTTCTAACACTGAATCAGAATTACTATGCAAGACAGAATATAAAAGTATTAATAAGATAGTTCCCAATAACCGAGGGAAATTACAGGGGGAATCTGCAGATGTCCCTCAAGACTACGCAGTAGTTAAGCAGCAGTTCTTATACCAAAAGAGAAAAAAAATTAACTTTGATCTCAGAGAAATTTTGCCTGCTAAAATGGGATATAATTATTTGAATCAAAATGTAAAATAATAATGAGACAGTTTCCAAGCGCTAGGGGAATTGTCTACAGTAGCAAGCTCGTCTGCAACAGACAGTGATTTTTCTTTTTTCTATTATCAAGCTGCATCAGAAACTCAACTCAAATGCAACCTTTCTCTAAGGAATTAAGCAAAAATGGCTTCTGTGAATAAGTTCAAATAATGAATAAATTAGAAAGAACTGAAATCTGATTACAGTCAACTCACAAACAGAAAAAGACATGGTATTTTCAGGTAATACATTCATGACAAATTATTAGGAGGCCTCTCCTTTGACCATCATTCTTTTCTGATACTTCTGATCTTTATATGTTCCTCAATAGATGTCTTAACTACAAAAATATTTCTCCCAAGTATAGCACTTACCATTTTCCCAATCATTGTCAAGTATGGGCCTGCATGCTGATTCACAGCAAAAAGATCAAGGAGCCGAGCATACCAAAATATTATATCCAAGCAGTAAAGTAGCCTTCCTGCAGCTCGAACAGGGGGGTTAGACCAGCGCAAGCCAAAGCCAATCATAAACAGGATGATAGCTATAGAATCAGTAAAATTCCAGTATTCATGAATCCACATCTTCACTTTTTGACGGAATTTTCCAGGTTCTGAGATAAATACCTGAGTAGAATGTGGGGAAAACACAACAAATCAAACCAAAAAACTCCATTCAAATCAGAGATACACTCTTTAATCTTTTCTGTCTGAATTGTTTCATATTCGGGAATTCATAATTGTTTTTCTTTCTTTTTTTTTTTTTTTGCAGGCCACTGTACTGCATATTGCCATTCACCATTAATTGAGGTTTGTACTTTATAATCTATAGAGTTGTATTGATCGGGTACGCCACACCAAATAGGAAAGTTCTTTCTAAGGAAAAACAGATTCTGAGCCTGGACCCATTAACTGAAAAGCATGTTTCTCCACAGAAAACACCAACCGGTATACAACTGTTATGCATATTTATCATAAATTAACAAGCATTTTCTAGAAGAATGGTCATGACCTGCAATAGCCCTTTCAAAAGCCCTTAAGTCATGGAAAGTACCAACCTAACCTTGCTGATGGAAAAATAACTAATGCCTTTTATTTCAGACTGAAAATATAAAGAAAGATCCTTGTATTCCACCAAGGACATACTAAAAAAAGGAGTGCTGGCAACTAGCAAGGTAAAGAATGAAAGATTTGCTCCTTGAACTGTGAGATGCCCCAAAGGGGTTTTAAGCTTCACTGAGCAAATGTGTGAAGTGGAATCTTTGGGAAGCTGTAAATAAATACTTTGCACATTGCGCAAGTGAGGCAAATTATGCAGGGCTATGTAAGATCACACTGATAAGTACCAAGCAAAGGAGAGATTTTGAAATGTTATGCCCTGATCCTGCAAGAATTTACCCATATGAACAATTAATGTAAACAAGTGATCCTACTCAATTCAGCTAGACTAACTCATATGAGGAGTTAGTTGCAGGATCAGGGCCTAAAGCTTTAACAATTAGTTGATACAATCTAGATAAAAAGAGGTGTGCAGTTATATAAAACAAAGCCTTTAGCAGTTAATTAGCTGCACATGTAAGACACAGTGTCCTACAAAGTCTTTTGCTAGCAGACCATAACTAGTACATGGACAATCAAGAAGACACAAATTTCAAAGTCTCCAATGAATGTTAACGCTAGAAAGAAGATCTATGTTTCCACTGTCCTACCATCAGCACAACCATGATTTCCAAAGTGCTTGCTATTTCACATTCATTTTTTTTCTCAATTATACAATTCTTGTGTAGATTTCTTTCAATTTCATCTCATGCAATCACAGAACTTGTATGTTTATCCAAGCTTCAATATATTTCAAGCATTTCTGCTGCCCCTTGAAATCCTTCACCTTTCTCATACTGATGTCAGTCTTCTCAGTGATCTGTTGCAACAGCATCCTTCAGTCAGAACTGACTGCTTTTTTTGCAGTTTTATTCTTCTAAAAGTACAGCATTTCAAATTTCTTACAAAAGACAATTCAGACTACTACTGTTTACTATGTGCCAATTCTACAGTGAAGATATGTCCGATCAGATACAATAGTTTGGAAAATAGAAAGCCACAGGTTTAAGCTGTGTTCAGAACCTCAGATCTAATCAACTCCAAATAATTACGATTAATTATGACTATCATATTTCCAAATCTAAGGGTCCACTCAAAAAAATTAAGAAACAGGTGGCTACTTTAAGGCTCCAAATCTCAATTCAGCACAATCACTCTCAAGCAACTTGCACATTAACACTGGCTTTACACAGAAAAATAGAGATTTAAGGACAAAATTTAAGATGCATTTTCAAAGCCCAAGTACTGGTCTTCAAATAAAATACTTCTCAGAGAAATAAATGCCCTGTATAATTCTCTAGAGAAAGAATGCAGAATTTAGCATTCTGCAGTTTATGGTATTCTCTGGTTTACAATATATCCTCTATAGATGAGAAGTGTGAATGGTAAAGCTTACCTCCCTGACTTTTTCAACAGCACTGCTGAAAATATAAATGATAACAAGCCACTCCTGTATACTTGGTCTTGGCTCCATCTTCACCAACACAGTGTAAGTGAAGAGCATGAGAAACGCCATGTACGCCATCTACAAAACACAAGGTATATGATCCATATCCAAAAATCTCCAACAAATTTCTGCAGACTTATTAGCAGGTGATTAGCCTGACTATATGTACTCACACTACTGGGGCACTGTCAGATTTTTGACCACAAAATCTTTCCTTCAGCTCTCCAAATTACTTTTATGGGAATATCTTTAAATATCATTTGGAATTTGGTGCTTTAGTGTTGAAAAAATGAGAGCAGAAGACGAACTACTGTAGTGTATGATCACCTAGGCCCCAAACTCATATATAAGACAGACTATTATATCTGCACACCATTACCTGAATGTAAAGGCAGTGCTGTTCTTTCCTAAATTTCTGTAGGAGCAAGTAACCATTCTCAAAGCTACGTGAATCACTGCTGGTTCATCAGTGCCTTCCTAACACAGGAAGAACAATATCAGGTGGAAAACGCATATTTTAAAGGTACCAGAACATGTTATAAAGGTATCTGAGATAATAGAATCACAACCTATAAAGCCGTTAACCACATACTGTTAAAGGAGTAACAGTTTATGCACATGGTGGTCTGACCCAACAGGAAGCCTGATCTTAAACATTCTAAGCTCTACTGTCACAGAGTTAATTACTAAAACTGATTTAATAAATTCATATTTCTACATAGCAAACTATCTCCTATAGATTAATACTCACTTCTTCAGAAACTGTTCCTAAAGAAAGGGACAAAAACATCTGTGAGGTCTTTAATGTATTTAAGGCCAGCTTCAAATCTATCTCTACGTGTACAATTAATCACTATGTAAAGCTGTGCTCGGGTTTTAGCTCTTTTGGATTTTTGTTCTTTTTTTTTTTTTTACTGCAGTTGCATGATTTTAGCAGAAAAAATTTTCATTTAATTGTGAGAGAAAGAGAGATATTCAAATGTCTTCCCATCTATCCCTGACTGTAAGTGACTGTAAATACATGCTAGGCAAAGTAAAAGCAGCATCAAGTGATATTTGAAGGATCAAAAGAGGGTTTTGGCAATCTGAGTTCTAGTGTGATGACCAACCGTGTGAAACCAGAACTTGACAATTGGTGCATTGTAGAACTCATAGATTTTCCTAGTGCCAGGCAAGTTTCCTTGTCCACCATGTGCTTGGCTTTCATCAGACTTCTGAGCAACCTTCTCCACATCATAATCTTTCTATAAAAGGAAAGAGCATTTTAAAAGTAAGAAACTATGGTTTATGATTGCAAAGACTGCATCTTGTTAGAGGGAAGACAGGCACAGATGTTTAACCTTTGTTCTGAGTATACAAACCATTACTGTAGCTTGATTTTGTCTGGCCACAACCACCTAATTTGCAATAATTAACATACACACTTTTCCACTATAGATACTCATTTAGAGTTTGCTCTTATGACTAAAGCTAGTGGAAAGTGTGTCAGGAGACCTGAATCCACTCCTGTTTCTACCACACATTTCTTTATGTCTTTAAGCAAAGTCACTTCATCACTCTGCATCTCACTTTCCCCACCTGTGAAATACAGAACAACTCCCTGTAAGACATAACTGTGTTAGCGAGAACTCCACTGACAACTGTTGCACATTCTGAAATAGCAAAATAATTTCCACTCATGTATACAGTTGTACAGAAAATGTCAGGATAGTGAAATCCTAAATACACAATCTAATTGGTTTTTTTGATGTACTATATTCCTGATGAGAAGATGAAGTACTCTCTTACAAAGATCTGCCTAGAAAAAATACAAGTGACCTCTTTATTATCTTCAGAAATAAATAGATAGATAGATATACAGACAGACAGAAAACGCAAACACACCTGATTCTGTATCCAGAGTTTGACACTTGCCTGAATAGCCCCCCTGAAAGCACAAGTGTCTGATTGCTGCTGAAGCCTAAGAAGAGCTGCAGACCCATAGCAGTAGGCAACTGACAAAACCAGAGGGTGCTGAAAGGAATTTTTAGAGATGAAGGACAGGGGCCTGGGGGAACTATAAATAGCTAATGGCTGGGTAAGGCTGAGGGAACCAAACTATCTTGTTCACCGTTTTTTCAATGCTGGCCTTGGCTAATATCAATGCTAAAACTTACTGCTACTAGGCATCTGCAGTATAACACTTTTATGGGACATGTTTATCCCTACTACACAACATTTCCTTGGGTTATCAGAGGAAAACTGACTCTTTTTTTCATCACATTAGACTCAGAAAAAACAGATCATTTTATTCACAAAATCATCCCAATGTGTTAACATCAGATCCTCTAGGGTGAATAAGAGAATCTGTACCATGAGAGTGCAACTTCCAGTTGCAGCAGGTCACTAGAATTTATGACTGTGTGTGAAAAATGGTCTATATGGCACATGTACTCTGTTGACATTTTCTGTACATTTTTCTATAATATTTCATATCAAAGAAAAAGCAGTAGATGGGCCTTTGTTTTAAACAACACTGTACAGTAGGTAAAATCAGAAGTTAAGCTTATTGTTCACACAGGAAGGAAGCAGCCCTCTCTGAGGCAGGTCAGAAAAGTGGTTATGCACGTTGTTGTGTTCCCTTCTACCAGACTGCAGGGTTGCTCCTTCTGCAAATAATTACAATTGGCCTGTCCTCTGTATCATAGCTGTTACCTAACCCCATAGAAAGCATTTTTAACTGACTATATTAGACAGGCACTGCAGGAGATAACGGCTTCGAGCATTTTTCTGCATCAGAGAGAGTAAACACAAGCGTGGTATTGACAGGCATACCATGCTGCTGCAAAAGCCATAAATGACAATCCACTCTCTTTCATTTTGCACAAATTGAAAGTTCACTGAGAAGGTCCCAAGCAATCTACAATGCTTATCTGCTTTAAGATAAGCAGAGCAGAGCAAAAAAGACTGCCTGACAGCTCTCACTTGACAATCCTGTTTCCAATGGTGAGCACCTCACCCTTTCAGATGGAAATTCTCCACATCCACTGTCTACCCCAGACTGCAAACTTTTGGAAATTTTCAGTTCAAGGAATGCTTTGTGGAGAATGAGAAAAACGAAGGACAGGCAATTCTGGTTAGCAGAAATCTGGAGGAATTCAGATCTTGAAAGGCAAGCATGCTGCAGACTCTCCACAGACAGGCCTACAGACTTTTGCAGAACCACAGGTGCCTGCAGAGTTTTTCAGGACTCAGTTTGGGTGACTAAACCAAAAGCATAGTGCTTCTCTTATGTTTTAAATGGCATGTCTGCCAGGCCCAAGTGATGTAGAAGTACAGATACTCTGTTTTTCAACAAGGAGGGCAGGAGCTAGACCTCTGGAAGGACTGTGATGTAACTCAGGAAACAAAATGTCAAGAACAGACTAAGAGTGAAGGATGGCAATGGAGAGGGGAGAGGCTGCAGCTGAGATGGGGGGTAGAGGCTCCTGGCTAGACAAAGCAGGAGGAAGAAGTGGGTTGGAGAGGACAGGACCTGCACTGCCTCAGTTCTGCTGTTTCCCTGCTTTGGACAGCTCGACTGGGTAACCTGAATTAAATTCTATGGATGTGATTTCATGTTTGATATAAAAACATTCTTAGATTATTTGGTAATCAAGATTACATAGGTATTTATCTGCAGCTTGAATAGACTTTGTGCCCTAAAATACCTGCGTAACTGATCAATAATTGTAATCTCATTATACTTTCAAGTGCAAGGTCTTGCACCTCAGTCAGGGCAATCCCAAGCACAAATACAGGTTGGGTGAAGAATGGGCTGAGAGTGACCCTGAGAAGAAGGACTGTGAGTTGTTGGTTGAGGAAAACTCAACATGAGCTGGCAACGTGCGCTTGCAGCCCAGAAGGCCAACCGCACCCTGGGCTGCATCAAAAGTGTGACCACCAGAGCAAGGGAGGTGATTCTGGCCCTTTGCTCCACCCTCATGAGACACCACCTGCAGTACTGCATGCAGCTCTGGGGTGAGGCTTTGAACAACCTTGTGTAGTGGGAGGTGTCCCTGCCCACGGCAGGGGGCTTGGACTAGAGGATCTTTAAGGTCCCTTCCAACCCAAACCATTCTATGATTCTTTGATGTTTCTATTAAGTTTGGAAGAATTTTATCCTTATGACCAGTACAGAAGTGACAACCAGGACAGATTAAGTGACTTGTCCGAGGTTACTTCAAGTCTGTATCCAGATCAGGGATCAAACCCCTACTTCTTGAGAACTGGGTCTGAACACTTCCAGCTGATCACCCTCTCCTGACTCCTTGAGATTATACTGTGGTAAACAGACAGACTCTGACACACAAATTACTGATCATTGCAGACTAACCAAAGACAAGGCATCTTTAGAGCTGGTTGGGCTCTCATCCCCATAATACCATGTGAACTGGTGGAAATCTTGAGATTGAGGCACATGTGACATTTCTGCCTTGCTTTTAAACTCCAGCATCAAGATGGTAGGAGGCAGGAGAATACTCATAATGACCTAAAAAAGAGACATGTGATTCAGGAAATTAATTCAGTAATGATAACACAGACCTGAGGCCATACTCAGCCATGCACAGTGCCAGCACAAATCCAGTGCACTGGCCTGAGAGGGAGCCACTGGTGTGGGAATTCTCCATCTCAGACTCCTACAGCCTCCAAAGAAGCATATTGCTCTTTACTGTTTTGTGGCTTTGAAGAGTGACATAGTATCTGGGGATATTTTAGATACTACTCCCTACGTCCAGAGCATTCCTCCCATTGGCAGCACTGCCAGGAATGAGGAGCAGCAAAAGCAGGTGGTGAGGGACTGAAGGGTGCTGAGAGAATGGGACCAGCAAAAAAAAACCTCACAAAATGCGCTCTTCTAATGTCATCCCACAGTTGCTTTTGTGAAGAAGCAAAACAGAAGCAAGTCCTGTCCTCCCTCTTTGCCTTTCTTTTCTCTCTCAGGTGTGCACATTCCAATTCATGCTTAAGAACATCTGTCTGAAGTTGCATTAGACACCTTCATAACCGCAAAGACACATATAGAGCATCTAAACATCATCAAAATGCTCAGAAAAAGCCAGAGTGATGTTACCTTAAACCAAGAGTTCTTCCGCATCTTCAGGCGTCCCATCCACATATCAGTCAGCAGCATCTGTGTGCAAGTATGGGATACAAAAGGCCGCAGCCCCACAGACACTGCTAGTTTTAAGCAAGTTGAGTTGCTCCAGTTTTTCAGTTCATAGGTCAGCAACTTCATGGCCATCTGCTCATTTTGTTTGAATGCTTTCTCCAGCACATCTAAGGCAAGCTGCCCAAATTCCCTAGAGCAGAAAGGAATTAAAAGTTAATATAACAGGGATAAGTCAAAACTCAGAATCACTGCTCCAAAGAGGCTGGTTTGAAAACTCCATTAACTCCATTAATTAAGTTCAACTAACAAGTAATTATACATTCTCCCATTTCCCCCATTGCTTTATCAATCTATCTAGTGAAAAATTATTTGGGGAGTAAACCTAACTATTTAGTCCTCCTGTTTTCTATTTCTTTATTTGTGTTTTTCTTAATCTCACTCAGTGATCAAAATGGACCCTATGAAGTTCTGCATATCTCCTTCAACAACAGACTCATCACCACAGTGGGCAAGCATTGCAGGCAGTTGCAAAAACCTTGCCCTTTACACTGGCTCTTAAACATCTCTGCAGGGAATACTCCTCTAGGACTCCTTTATATTAAGCTTTGGAGTTGCATGCAAAAAAAGACAGCCCATCTTATTGTATTCTGAATCTGAGGCATGGTATCTACAAAGCATATAATATGTCATTAACAAGAAAAACTACCACAAAATACTAAGATGAAACTAAAAACTTGAAGAAAATTCTTGGTCTACTTCATTTTTTATTCACTCAGTTATTTCAGCACACATTTTTCTTTAGTTCTTACACAGAGCAGGGCTTAAGTACCTTTTTTTTAGCTTGTTCATTACCACATGACAGATTTGAGAAGTCCAATACATAGGTGCCACATGGCTTTTTAACAAGTTGAATTGGAAGGAAAGCTGCAAGGGAAATATCAGTCTTTCACTTGACCATTTAGCAGACAGAGCATGATGCATTACTCACCTGTATTTTAATTTTCAAACACACAACTAGATAACATGCTAACAGCTTTCCTCTAACTCCTAACCAGACTGCACATCAATACATAGCTCCATTACATAATATGAGTGGTGGGTAGCTGAAAGTATTTCCTTTACACTCTGTAGTTCATGGCACCACTAACCTTACAAACTCATAGCAGATTAGGAAAATATCTAACCATTCTAAGCACTGCAAACTTTATTAACTGAAGTGAAGAACGAACTCATACTTTGAGTACTTCTTGAGTTCTTCTGAAGTGTCATCCACCATGTTGCTCTGTTTCGCTTCACGTGCCATTGCTCTGTAGAGTTAAAAAGCCACAACAGCTTTGACCATGGCTTCCTCTCCATGCTGCCAGAAGAACATTGCCATCTTCTGCCTTTTCATTAATACTGCCCAAACCAGGAGGTCATTATAGGGGTATATAAAGCCAGATGACTCATAGTTCTCTGCAAAGTTTATATCCTCTTTTGATTTCTTCTTATACTTATGGAATGCAGTGGATCTATCCTATAAATTCATTTAAAAAAAAAAGAAAATCTTAATGAACAGTTGAAGTTCAGATTCATGTACATAAAACTGCATGCAAATCTGCATTGCAAGTAGCAAACTACTTGATCATTATATATATTTAAGTCATAAGCCAAAGTGAGAATCACATTCAGATTACCAATGCCAAGAAGCCAGTAACATTAGTGAATGAAAAACACTCTTTGCTCTGTACCCATGTCATCTATAGCCTCCTCTTCCACAGAGTTGGGCAGTCTCCAAACCCTGTGATACCAAAGTCCTAGTTTCACTTTTCTTGTAATTGTGTCATGACAGTAGAAAAAGCAATCAGTAGATTGAAACATACATTGTGGACTTGTAATACTTAAAGATGATTTTTACTGACTGCCACACTTGGAAATGTAAATTTGCTATATATTTGTGTCTGGATATTTCTCCATTAAAGGCAAAGAAAAAGTCTTACTAGTATAAATGAGGTTGTCTCAGTGCTTTAACGTGTTCATTTTGGCTCAGACTAATTTAAACTCATTCTACTTTGTGTTTTGTCTGTCAGATATATGTATGTGGTGATCTTTGCTCTTTTATCATTCTTTCTTTGGAAGAAAACACCCTTTCATCTTTTTCCTGATATCAGAACTGTAACTTTTCTTAGCAGACTTACTGTAGCTACTTTAATAAGCAATCATGAGAAAACATGAGGAAAGTTAGATAATTCCCAGTGTTTCTTCCAAATAAGAGGAATTTTCACGCATGCTTGATGTTCAGAAATTTGGTGATATTACATTTCAGTGAACAAAAGCTATTAGCAACAAATGGATGGAAGTTAAAACATATCACAGGAGGAGTCTGAGCTTGATTTCAGCATTAAAATTGCAAGATCTGTACTTCATGAACAGCGAGCAGTAAAATACTGCTTCCATTGGAATGTAAGTAGAATTATGATAACTAACAGCCTGACCAACATATGTCTAAAACCTCTCAATAAAATTATTAGCAGCCCAACATGTCTTGAGCAAAGCCTATAATAACTAATTATATTACCTTGTATTTGTAAGGCTGTGCAGTTCTGAAGAACTGAGAATGCAAAGTATTTTCAGCAGATCCCATTCTGCTACCTGTCTGATTACTCTGATGAAAGGAATGAGACAGGTTCTGAGAAAAGCTGGAGAGCACTCTCTAGATCCAAAGGAATACCATAAAACAGAAGGAAAAAAATGCAAAGTAGAGATTAAGTTTGCATGTACTTATCTCTGATTGCAACAGTGCCTGTAAAAATTGATGTTATTCTAAGACTAGTGAGACAGCAATCATGACAACTACAACTAGAGATCATCAAGGAAAAAAATAGCCTGTTTCACAACTAATTTAGAAAACATAAATTTTTCTGAATCTCTGAATTCAAAATACTCATTTCCCCAATAGCATCTACCAATTACAACAACAACAGGACTTGCACAAGACTGGAATCACCCAACCTGGAAGCTCTTTTGAGTGCCTACCCTTACAAAAAGCACCATAAGCCCTTTAAAAGACATAGGCTCCCTGAACTTTTTGCTGACCATTTCCTCCAAAGGATGGCACATTTAGCATCTCTGGGCATTCTGTTCAGTGTTGTCTGAGAGGGAATAATGTTGCCAGCTGAATCACTAAGGCTCTTCCCTGAAGTTTCTAGTTGTAATACCATGTGGTTTCACTCATCCTTGTTAAGGTCATAGTTCATAAGGATACAGTGAAGAGTGTCACAACTGCTCAACTATCTCTTTTTAAGCATCATATTAAGCCAGTGACACACAGGAAGCTCTGTCTCTGTGTTTCTATTCATTCCAACTAATAGTGATGATTATTTCTTCTCATTTTCCCTGATCACCCTGAGGTTCTTCTATTAGTCATGAAAGCAGTAGATGGAAATGAGAGGTGTTTGTTTAACATATGGAAGTACTTTAATTAAAGTCCAGTTCTACTCTGAAAACCAGGGAGAATTCATATGAGGTAAATCTGCATCTTCTGTGATGTTGGGAATTACATTAGGCTAATTTATTGAGAAGTTTAGAATGTTTTCAAGTTACTTGTTTTGGAAAGATAATGGGGGAAATGAAAGCACGATGGGTGCAGCCTAGCACATCCAGCATGAGACTTTCCCTGTGATGACCAGTACACCACAGAAAAAGCTCTGCCAGACAAACAGAGCTCATGGGCCTGGGCAGGAAGATGCACGACTTAGCACTGAGCTGCTTCTAAAAGGTAAGACATTTGCTCAAAACTAGGGCCAGGGATCTCCATTTTGCTCTTTCCTGTGCCATGCTGGCATGCTCCAAGTCTAGTTCAACACTTGTTGAATTCAGTATTTCAGCGACGTGGTTCAAGCTGCAAGAGCAGAAACGTGCAACTGCTTTGCAAAAGGGTAGTTGGTATAGCCTTGTCAATCTTTATTGATGAATGACAGACAAAGAACACAACCCGGCTACAGGACACAAAGGTAAATTCACTGAACTAATAGTTAACAACTTGACTTTGTCTGGTTTATTTGCAGTCTCTCCACAGTTGGCAAAGTGATTCATAAAACAAACAAGCATGGCATACATTCAACTGATGCTCTTCAGACAAATCACCATGACAACCTGAGCTATTTTCATGTGTTACATTTTGGCTTTTCTTGGTGACCAGTGGGTAGACATTTCACAGAAGTTACCTTGTGTTCTCTGTAGAGATCATTGTAGAGAATTCGGAAATGCTTCCTTGTGTAGCTGCTTCGATAAGCTCCACCAAGAAGGTACTCTATCACCAGCCCAATATCAATCAGTGATATCTTGTAATCCAAGGAAAGGGTATTCTGGAATGCCAAATGTCACAAGCATTTAATGATGCTATTATATGCAACATTCAATCACGTCAGAGCCCTGCTACTATATTGGAAGTCTTGAAGAAAGTGCAACTGAGAGCTCTTGCATCTGTCAGGAAAGTGTACACATTCATTAGGTTTATGAAACTCCCCTTGGAGAGAGAACACAGGCACATTCATACTTTCAGCATGAAAAGTGTGATGTCTACAGTCCACCGCATCCACATCTCATAGAGACATATATTGCAATGTTTTCAAGACCAGCTGCATTCAACAGTGAAGGTAATGGTTCCTTAGGTTAATCACCAACAGCCAGAGAGATTGATAAACATCATCTTCTCATAGCAAGAGAAAACTAGCATGATATGATTTGCTCATTAAACTAGTTCATTAATTAAAAATGAAGTGGATGAAGCATGTATTTAATGCTGTAGAGTAATTCCTGGAGACTGACAATCTCTTGCAGAGGTTCAAGATTGTCAGGACAACTAGGACAGCAGCTGCACATGCATTAGTTGTATCTTTTGAGTCTCTTACCACTTCTGTTTAAAGCACCACTGCTTCCCAGTTTACCTACACTGTCCTCCCAAGACATACGGTTTGTGACAATTTCTCTGAAAAACACATTAACTTCCATGTAGATTTTAAAGATAATTGGTAAAACCTTAAATCACAACACTTGGAAGTTAAAAATGGGCCTGTACATAGATGGGATCAGAGGTGTTATACATTCCTAGTGGTATATGCCTTTCAGACTGTGAAAAGTAATTTTTTTCGTTAGACTGAGGGGGTTTTTTTCAATGGACTTTAGTGGAAAGCCTCAATACAGCCAGCAAAGGCTGCTCAGTCCTAGGGAACAGAAAACACCAACATGCCAAGCACTCTAGGGCAAAAGCACATCTCACAGGATAGAGCTTGCCAGGTGTGTCATTGAGAGTTAGGCAAGTATTTCTGATTCCCTATATGTGTGGATAGCTCTCTGCACTAAAAAGTATATTTTCTGTTATCAGGGCAGACTGCAATGTATTTCCATACAAATGTAGCAGCAGCAAAGCTGGTCACACTAATGGAGAAAATATTCTTAAATCCATGGTCACATCACTCTTGTCACTGTCCTAACTACAGTGTTACCATATTTAATAAGACAGCAACTGCACAACCCCTTCATGGAGCACTTACACATACTTACAGGAACTCAGATGAAAAAGGCTTTTTAGTCTTTGGAACTGTCTGCAGGTCCCAAGTGGGTTTAGCTTAACCAGTGGGGTAGAAAGTTTTGAAATCATGCACCTATTTTCTACCTCAATTCCACTATTCCATTTCACATGCCAAATGATTTCCTTCAGATCACACCCTGAATATTCCCAGAGTGTCCTGACATGTAACCAGGCCATGGGTTTTAGGAGAGAGCTCATATAGACCACTGTCAGAAAGACAGATTTCTCAGCCTGGAAAAGTTCAATGTATTTTCAACACTGAGATCTTCCAGATCTGTCACATAAATTATGTCAAATATGTCCATCAGTGTGAGAAAACACAGAAAATAGCTTGCTATGAAGATCAGAATACCCTACACCTCTCTACAGGAACATCAATGGGATTGACATGAAAGTCACCCACAATAAGAAAATCATACCAGAAATCCCGCTATGTAAGCCCACAGAACTCTTCGAACAGTCAGGCTTACCATTTTATTTTATCTTAGCATTCATAGCTAAGAAAAAATTAGCCAGTTAATCTAGTTTTGGATCTATGCATCTTCTGCAGTGAAGACTAGATGTAGAAAGAACAGCTCAACCTTTCCTGGCTAAGCAGTGCTGCCAGGTACTATAGATAACAGAAACATGAAACAAATTAACTGTGCAGCTAAATAACAAAGCTGCCACTAAACTACTGATGGAGTCAGTGCTTCATGCAGTAGTCATCCACTGCCACCTTCTGTTCTGCTAAGCAATGCAGCACATTAAAATAATGTATCTTGTCATGGTATCTTTTTGTTACTGCTCAACCAGGGAAGACTTTTTCAGTTTTGGAAGAAAAAAGGAAAACCTTAAAGCAATGAGCATAGTTACTGCATTAATTCACTAAGTCTTTTGTACAATCACTTCATAATGTCTCTTTAGTAACTTGAGAAAGAGAGTCTGATCTACAAGAACTGCTTGGCTTTGAAATTAAGGTACTGGACCCTTGGGGGCATTCAGCAGTAGTATGCTAGTTAATTGCTTAGGGGGATCAGTGGGATGAAGATAAAACCATTTAGTAGATACAGGAGTGTATGAACCCATCACTTCTATTCCTAAAATTCCCCTGTATTACCTAATAGCAGTGTGCCAGTGGACACTGAATTTCTAAGTTAACATTTTTGCTCCCTAGCCTTTCCTAAGTCTATTACCTGTTTCACATCTCGAACAAGATGATGCAAAAGTAGATTTGATGGTCCTTGTTTCTATGGTGTGAAAAGAAAAGAAAGTAAAAAAACATGTCACTCTACATTAGGAAATCAATACAGTAAAAGAAAGCAGTTAAAGCATCTGTGGGATAAGCTACTGTGATTCAAACTCTCCCCACAAACCTCTTTAAAAACATTTCAACACCAATCTGCAACACCTCTACTATCTTAAATCTTATATATTCTAGAAAGAAGTTGGTATCACTTTGGTTAAGTAACGTATCATTTTCAGCAAGATAAGCAAGTACCAGACTAAAATCAGAACATGTTGCTCATGAGCTTCAGGGGAGTACTCAGTTGGGTTCATGTCAATGAATTGAAAACAAAAAGCTGGAACAGCAAACCAAAAATTCAACATTACAATTAAAAATTATCAAAACTTTATTTATAATTCTTTTTTCCAAAAAATCCTTCATAAAAATGTGGCCTAATTATCAAATCTCTTGAGAAAAACAGTATTTTTTCTAGGCTTTCTTATTTGAAGTGGTACAACTGCATTTCAAATACTCACTGTATTGTAGAGTTCTTCCAAACGAGATATGGTAAGAAAACGGTGCATGTTCACTCCATGCTCTATTAACAGCTTCACAAAATCTACACGGTCCATCACTAGGGCATCCAGCATTGCCTGTTCCAAGGCACCAACCTCCAGAAGGACAGAGATAAAGGAAAAGCTTAGAAAATTACTATCTTCTTTCAGAAATAAATAAAACATTCCTGAACAGCTAGGGATCTCTTTATCACAATGATTTGTCTTTACATATATTTTAAGCGCACAGTACAACAGAAAAATATGCTGAAGGAAGCATCTGTGTAAAAAATCCAGCAGAGAGGAGGAGTAAAACTGAGCCAACATAAACCAAACATCTGCAGAGACTTCTACAAATCTAACTGTACAACCAGATTCTGATAATACATTCCCTACTCTTCAATTCACTTCAGAAGCTAATGTATGATAATGCAGGGGTTGGAGGGAAGCCTTTCTTTTTTGACAGAAGCCATTTCAAGGTACTATATTTCCAGATCTCTCTATAGAACTTGAAGTTATTTAAAACAGACTTATTTTCAAATATGAGAGACAATCTGCATTAGGATAATCTCTCTCAAAGACATTGTGAAGCAGAGCTCTACCTACAACAGTGCCCAAACAGTGAAAGCACTCTAGTCATGATACTTGCACAGAGCTCAGCAGGATTTCTACATTCAAAATAGCAAAGGAGTTGGACATACAAGGTTCATACAAATCCATATAAATAATTGCTACAGAACATATACACAGAGCAAATGCAGTGAGATGAGCAGAATGAGGATGCTGGTACGCAAAGGGGGCAGGCACTAGTGCTAACTTGGCACATGAAGTTAGTTCTCTCCATGTATGTATTTGCATTTGGCCAAAGTGATATTAAAAGACCAATAAATGCTACAGAATTGTCATATGTGAAAAGAAAACTTGTGCACTGTTTCTGAATCATTGTTGTTTCTTTCAGAAATACCTCAAAGTGACAATTCTTGTATTAAATTTCCTCAAGCAGTCATTGCTTGAGCTGGCTGTAGGTCTAAAGAGCTTTAGACAGCTGTCTGGTAACTACTAGAATGACATTCTTCATTGTAAAGTCCATTTGAAACTGAGCTGACATTTAAGCAGAAACATAGTTACGGCTGCTTATAATCCTTACCTTCTGAACTTTTAGGATCAGTGTTCTAAAACACCCACAAATTCTGCATAATTGTGTATGTTTCCTTAAAACACTTAAATATACAGAAAAATACTAAGTCTGCATGGACAATCACCTAAAAATTGCTGTTTAAATAACCAATTCAAAATTTGAACACACAACCACAATAACCATGCCAAAACCGTAGACACTGACAATTACAGGTCTGGCAGACCGTCACAACTGGAGGGGTACTCCTTTTTACTTAAGAAAACAACTAAGACAAAAGCAAACTGTAAAATTGTGACTGTGCTTTTTCTTCTTTTTCTTTTTCTTTTTCTTTTTCTTTTTCTTTTTCTTTTTCTTTTTCTTTTTCTTTTCTTTACAATGCATGAAGAAATTATTTTTATTTAGGACTTTTTTCCTGCTTAGTCAAAAGGAAAACTTTCAGGAATATATGTTATTTTAATGTTTGCTTGAAGAAACAGCAAGAGATGTAAGGCTTGTTCATTATGAGCTCTTTAAATCTCACTTGAATAGGAGAACATACGCATTATTTGACAATGACTTCTCATTCAAAATGGTGCTGAACAATTGCACTGAAATAGGTAAGAACCAGTACATAGACCTTTTTCGAACATATCAGAAGCAGAGGAGCAGGAGTAGGGGGACTGCCAGCAAATCTGTAAGGCCAGAGGATGATCAAGGTATAAAAGAAACACGAAAAGGAGATAAGGCTATTGCAGAAATAGTAAATTAATTCCTTGCCTCACTGCTCATTACAGAATGTATTAGGAATGTTCTAATTAAAGGTGTTCTTTACAGCAGACAAATCTGAGGAACTGTGTCAAAGTGAAGTGTCAGTAGAAAATATTATAGAAGTCATCAGTAAAGTGGTAGCAAATTGTTAGGATCGGGTGATATTCACCTAAGAGTTCTCAGGGAACTGAAGTATAGCTGAAATCAGTCCCTGTAACAGCAGAATGGAAGATTGTAGAAAATTTGCCAACTGTTAAAAAAGACAAAGGAGTTTACAAGTTGTCAAAGTATGGCGTATCAATACAGACATAACTTTTTAAGGACAAATATAATGAAACTACAATAAGAAATAGCAATAATAGCTGCATGGGTAAATAAAGTAGAGTAAGAGGAAGCAAGGCAGTTATTTTTTAGAATTAAATTAGAATTCTACGAGAAAATCCTACATATTATATACTGATTTGACAACACTTGCTGATGATACAAAAAATACTCATAATAATAAAATTGATTGGGAAGAGGCACAGAAAAATGTCATAATATGAGCTAAACAGTCCAAAATGCTGGTGAAATTCAATATTGGTAAATGTGAAATAATGTTCATTTTGGACACACCCTACCTGCACATCAATCTTGAAATAAATTCGAGACATACCTTCTGAAAGCATGAACATAAGTTGGAAACAGGTAAAAAAGGCATACAGACTATTAGGATTTATACATAGATGAATCCAGAATAATTTGTAAAGTATTAGTATTCACTAAATATCTCAATGAAGAACCCCATATATTGAATACTGGGTACAGTGCTGGTCTGCATATCCCAAAAGATGACTTCAAGACCTGAAAAAAAGGATCTGAAATAAGCAGAAAAGATTGACAGAAATATGGAAAAACCGAACAGATCATATCTTGGGAAAGTAACGGTTCCGTAAAGTTTTCTGTGTCAAAGAGGTAGGACTAGGAAAATGTTATTGTCTCTCATGCACAAAGGAACAGAAGGCATCAAATGAAAATATCACGTAGCAAAAGCCACCAAAATTTAGCATTCTCACTTTAAGATCTCTTTTTTTTGGTATCAGTTATACTAATTCACCAAAGTAACTTTCACCTCCCACACTTCTCATGTAAATGCAAAGGAATACTGTAGACACATAGGCCTTGCCAACATATAATTCTACTGATAAAAATGGCGATAGCATAATCCTTCACTCACACTTGAATAATATAGAATTTCAAGGAATAAGACAGACGGTGTCTCCCTTTCTTTAATATCTTACACAGCTGTGCTTCAATAAAGCCTACCAACAGTTCAGAGAAGAGCTGCTGAAGGCAAAAAATTAAATAAACAACAATAAGAAACGTACCTGGCATAAAACAATGAAAAAAGAAATTGGCAAAAATATTGGCTTGGCCAAAAAGTAATTGCATAGCAGATTTTTTTTAATAGATGGACATGCATGTCTTG